TTTATATCCGTAATCTTACACATATACACTAGCTGGTTACAATAATTTGTGAAAAATATACATCAAAATTTTGTTACTTTTTACATCACAGATATTTTAATATAATATATCTTCTTTTAATTCTTAAAGATTTCTTTTTCTTCCCCCGTTTTTTTTCTTTTTTCTTTCTTTCTTTCTTTCTTTCTTTCTTTTTTCCTTTCCTTTCCTCTCGTAATCCGGAGTCAACTCGCCGGATTCGTTTCAGCGTATCGTCCGCGACGTGTGGAGTGAGACGGCCGGAAATCTATGCGAAATTATTCTCTCGAGATTATTATAATTCGACGAAATTTGATTCTTCATTACTTTCCTTCTCTCTTCAATTTTTCTGTTTTTTCAAATTCTAACGATCGATCGCGAAACAACAATACCATTCTTCGAATATTTCGACACGATCCCGCCGTCTTCCTCGAAGAAAAAACGAAAATAAATCGACGTAAATCGACGACGCTTCTTCCTACAGCCGCGTTGGCAACGATATCTGCCCTAATCTATGCGACCTCGTTCGTTATCCACTCCTACTCCTTCGAAATTGGAAAAAGCAAATTTCGAAAAAGTTTTCCTAAAAACGGCTCTATCGAGAAAGAATCGGACAAAAAAAAGAATTTGTCCGATAACGTTTTAAAAGATCACAGAAGAACGGTTGTCCAATTACTCTTACACCAGCGAATATATTCATAATTGTCCGCAAAAATAGATAATGGTCTTTTTCTTTCTTTCTTTCTTTCTTTCTTTCGTTTTTTCTATTTTTTTTTTTTTTTTTTTTTTTTTTTTAGTAAAACGGCGTATTTCGCCCCGTGTTCAACCAATCCGACTCGTGGGAAGGAAAAGTCTTCCAATTCCCCGAGGACGAACGAATTTCATTCAGTCTCGTTAAACGAAATCGCCGTGGCAGACACGTTGACGCGACTGTGTCACTGGGAAATCATTATACGGCAGCCTCGTTAATTACGCCGTTAGCGCCGATCGTCCCAATTGTCGCGATTCAATCGTCCCGCTCGTCTATGAACGAGACTCGTCGATACCTCTCGCGCGCATCTAATTTGTGCAGGAGTCGTAGCTGTCGCCGTCGTCGTCGTCGTCGTCGTCGTCGAACCAGAAATTTCCCCTATTTTCATTCAAACGTTTTCTCTCGAACCGGCGCCCTTTTTTTTACTTTTGATTATCGCGCGCCCGCGTAATTCTCGAAATGGTTGATATTATTGTGCGTTGCGTCGAAAGTAAGTGAAAAAAGGAAAAAAAAAAAGAAAAAAAGAGAATCACCTCGTCACGTTT